ACATGGTGAAACCCCGTCTCTACTAAAAATTAAAAAAATTAGCCAGGCGTGGTGGTGTGTGCCTTTAGTCCCAGCTACTCAGGAGACTGAGGCACAAGAATTGCTTGAACATGGGAAGTGGAGGTTGCAGTGAGCTGAGATCTTGCCACTGCACTCCAGCCTGGCAGCAGAGTGAGACTTCATCTCAAGAAAAAAAAGAAAGAAAGAAAGAAAGAAAAGCTCTTGGCTTTTATAAACCAGTATACAATTCTTTCATTATTAAAATGAGTGTCTTTTTTGAAGTAATACTGTTAACATCCTCAAATGTGAAGAAGAAATACATGTATATTTATAATCTATATCATTTATCTATGAGTAAAGGTTTCAGTGGCAAACATTGAAAGTCCTCAGTCTAATAGAAAATAAAAGGGTAACTACAGGCTAACTCCCAGAAAGAAAACCTTTGAAACTACAAAAATTCCAAAAGCCCAAGGTAGATTTGAAAAAGCCATCATTAAAACTAGAATGAGGGAGCAGCTTATGTACAACATTGAATTTCAGAGAAAACCCATAAACTGGACAACAACGACAGACCTATTTAGGGGCCCTGAAGAATGACCAGAAGCATGGGATACCGGGGCCTGAAGATCTAATTCTTAAAATTCGGGTTGTACAGCCCTTCTTCCAGTCTGCTGAGCACCGTGGCTAGCTCACAAGAAGAAGGCCAGTCGTGCGGGTTTGGGGCATTCCATGGTGAAGTTCAGGGCTGTCAGAGTAGCTGGAGAGGCGGAAGAAGAATCCAGGGAAGGAGAGAGCCATTGAGGCAGCCCTGAAATTCACCAAAATTCCCCTCAAATCCAGCTGATAAATTTGAACTCGGAACATACAGAAAGCAGCAGCTGCATGGTGAAAGAGTTGAGCAGAGATTTCAACTGTGGTCAAGTGCGTGGGAGCAGAACGTGGCGTCTGAGGGACTGGCAGAGCAGCTGGGCTTTCCATCGAAATGCTAAAGGCCCATGCCTCCTGGGTGAAGAACAATCCCAGGACAAAGGGATTCTTCTTAGACCTAAGAAAATGAGTTAGAACCACTCAAAGCAAGCATAAAACCAAGCCTCCTCAAATTCAAGGTGACCCATCAGTAACTTAACTGCCTGCTAGAACAAAAATCAATACTCCTCAAGGAAGAGAATAGAATCTAGCATCTCTATGATGTAGCATCTACAATATTCAATATACAGTTAAAATTTATTGAATATGAAAAGAAACAGGAAAATGTAATTCAGAGTCAGCAGCAACATCAGTTAATAGAAAGTGGCCCTCAAATGAGTCAGAAGTTGTAACTCAGACAAGAACTTTAAATAAGGTGCTATAACTACGTTCAAGGATTTAAAGGGCGAAGAAAAAGAGAAGTGGGAATGTGCACACAGGTACACACACACAACATTTGGATCAACTGCATCAGCTGAACAGCAGGTTGGAGGCAGCTGAAGCAAAGGCTAGTGAGCTTAATAAAGGAACAGTAGAAATTATTCAGTCTGTAAAGAGGGAAAAATGGAAGTAACGAACATAGTTTCAATGACCTGAAGGCAATATCAAGCACTGTAATAACAAACATGTAATTGGTGTCCCAGACGAGAGGAAAAAGAGAGAACAGGGCAGAAAAAATATATTTGAATGAGTAGTGGCTGAAAATCTCCCAAATTTGTTAAAAAAAATTACAGATCAATTTATAGGTCGTAGAAATTCACCAAACCCTAAGCAGGATAAATATAAAAAGTAACACATCTAGGAATATTATAGTCAAATTACTATAAACTTGGCTCTAAAGGAAAAAATTAGAGTCCCAGAAATGAAAAAACTGGGTAGATATCAAAGACTTCAAATTTTCCAGTTTCACTGAAAGACAGCAGATTGTTTAAAGTAAAATTGATAAGATTGTATTGTGGGTGTTAGAATGCATGTAGGTGTAACATATATCCAATTAGTGGCACAAAAGAGGAAGGTAAGATGGAGTGGCTCCAAGTCCACATTTTAGGCGAAGGGGCACAATGGTAAGTCCAAGTAGCGTATGAAATGTTAACGATTCATATTATAGGCCGGATATGGGTTTCATGCCATAATCCCAAAACTTTGGAAGGTAGAAAAGGGAAGATGGATTGAGCTCAGGAGTTTGAGATCAGCCTGGGCATCATAGGGCGATCTCGTTTCTACTTAAAAAAGTTGCGGGGGAGGGGGGGCGGTCAGGAGGCGCTGGGCACGGTGGCTCACGCCTGTAATCTTTGGGAGGCCGAGGCGGGTGGATCACGAGGTCAAGAGATCGAGACCATCCTGGCCAACATGGTGAAACCTCGCCTCTACTAAAAATACAAAAATTAGCTGGGCGTGGTGGAATGCATCTGTAATCCCAGCTACTCGGGAGGCTGAGGCAGGAGAATTGCTTGAACTCAGGAGGCAAAGGTTGCAGTGAGCTGAGATCATGCCAATGCACTACAGCCTGGTGACAGAGCAAGACTCTGTCTCAAAACAAAAAACAAACAAACAACAACAACAAAAAGAAAAAGTAGCCAGGTGTGGTGGTATGCACCTGTAGTCCCAGCTACTAGGGAGGCTGAGGAGAGAGGATTATTTGAGCCCAGGAGATGGAGGCTGCCCTGAGCTATAATAGCGCCACTACACTCCAGCCCAAGCAACAGACAAAAAAACAAGAAACCTGCATTATAATCACCAGACATAAAAAGTCAACAAAGCAGTGGAATTGAAATACTGAAGTTATTAACAAAAACAAAGGCATGAGAGACAGAAGGACGACGTAGAATAGACAGAAAACAGACCTATGCTAGCAACAACCTGAAACTCAAAAACCTGTGTTAAGCGAAAAAGGCCAAACCCAAAAGAGTACATGCCGGACGGATTCTATGAATTAAACCCTCAAGAACAGTCAACACTAATCCATGGTGATAGAAATCAGAACAGTAGTTTCTTACAAGAGGTGGGGATTGCCTGGGAAAAGGCATACAACTTTCAGGAGGGACAGGGATGTATATATATTTATTGAGGTGATGGCCAACGCAGAGTGCCCATTTATCAAAATTCACAGAACTGTACAAATAAAATGTGTGCATTTCATTTTCGGCACATGCATTTTACACAAACACCAATGTTTGAAAGCGGATTAAAAACTCCTGAAGAGCCTCCGGTTATAAACTTTGATCAACAGAGGGCGCTCGGAGCCCATGAAACACGCTTTGGGCCCGCAGCTCCTTAGAGATGCAAATCTGACCAGCTCGCGGCTGCTGGTCTCCAAGGTGGATCGCGCGGCTCCCCTATACTCCCCCTCGACACCCCACCTTCCCCACCCGCGGCCCCGCCGGCTGGTCCGTGTCACCTGGCCACACGCTGCGCGTGGCCAATGGCGAAGACGTGTCCGAGGCACCTCGGCGGAATGCAGATGCGGGTGGGGCCGGCGCGCGCTGCCTGGAGGCGTTACCTGCCCCCTAAGGTCCCCTACGGAACGATCGCTTTTACACTGGAAGTGGAAACGTCATGGAAACTTCCACTCTGTTCTCGACATCTTCATTTTGACCTTTTTACCTCGCTTTGGTGGCCGTGGAATATTCCCACGCAAAAGCTGGCTCGGGGGAGGAGGGGGCAGAGCCTGGGAGGCACCGAAGAAATTTTCCCCGAGGAAGGCCGAGTGGGGGCGTTGCCCCAGGCTCCCAGAACCCCGAACCTTTGTCTTCCTGCCCCCTCCGGCCTCGTCCCAGCTCCGGAAGAAGCCAGCGACCAGAAATCCCTAAGCGTCCCTGGCGCCCTCGCCCACCCCCCGGCTGGGTCTCCCCGCGGGCGCGCAGATGCCATTACACCCCACGTGATCCCCGCGCCGGGCCGGTCCTTCCAGAGGCGTCTCGCGGGGTGTTAATTAAAGGTCACAACAAAACAGACCTGCTGGCTCACCAGAAGAAATGTCCTCCCGGGAAATGAAAAATGACACCCAGAGCAGCCACGTGTGGAGCCTGGCAAACGCCGGCTTCCTGCGCTCCGGGGCGCTGCGCTGGGGGGATTGTGGGGGGCGATCGGAGAGGGAGCGAGGACGGGGTGCTCCGGAGACCCCGCGAGGCCCAGGCGCAGGAAGAAACGGGCGGCGGGGGCGAGGGGACCGATCCCCCGCCAGGAGAGGCCAAGGCCAGCCCGCGCCACACCCCCTCTCCAGGCCGGAGTCGTCCGCTTGCAGCGCGGCGAACCCCTGTTTCCCTTGCCCAGCCCCGGCCCGCTGGGTCCCCAGGCTCACCTGTCCCGACCCCGGGCGGCTTAGTCCACACAGACCCGGGCTCGGGCGGGAGGGGGGCGGAGGCCCCTAGTGCTCCGGCTGCGTCGGGGAGGGTGGCCCCCGGCCCCCCGGGGGTTGGCAGGACAATTCCAGAAAAGGTTTGCAGGGCAAGTCTCCGAGAACAAAGGGCGGGGGGAGGACCCGGCGTGTTTGTGGACTTGTTTGTGACTCAATCCCTTTCACACGGCGTTTCAAAGGCAGACCTGCAAGCCTTGTCAGGAAGAGAAAGAACCTGCGGGCGGGGGAGGCTCGGGCGCCGCGTTTCCGTCCCGCCGCGCTCGCTCGCGCTGCCCCTGAGCTCCAGGCTCGCGCAGCGGCGTTTCATTAAGAGACCCGGGCCCGGGCCGCGCGCCTGGAACTTCCCCGCCGGGAGCGGGACTGACGCTCCCCCGCGCCCCGCCCCAGCCCGGCTCCCGGCCTCGCAATGTCAGGCAGGAGCGCCGCAGCCTAAAATGGATCCCGGCCGGCGCGGCGAGGGCGGCAGGCAGGCGGCGGGCTCCGGGTCCCCGAGGCTCCGCGCTGCGCCCAGGCGCACACGGGCGCCCTGACCGCCGGCCGCTCCCGGGCCACGCGGAGCCGCCCCTCTCCCTGCCCTCGCGCAACTGTCAGGCGAAACGGGCCGGCGGATATTGGCTCGGCGACACGCTGAGGCTCCTCCCCGAGTCTGGATCTTTATATTTTGGGAGAATTTCTTTGAACTCAGTTAGCAAGCTCGGGGAAGGAGGCAATTTCCCGCAGCCGGCTCGGCTCGGCTCGGAGGGCTCGCCCACCCTCCTGCAGCTGCCGCGTGCCCTGATTGTGTCCCTCTCCTCCCTCGTGGGGGGAACGGACCGACTTGGCTGCAGAAAATGCCAATTATATGGATGTGACCGTGAAAAGGGAACGTGCGACTGCAAGAGGCAGAAGGGGACGAGGAAAAGCATTATTTGAAGAGAAGAATAAACCAGCCACCCCGACCCTTTCTGCAAATTGGTGCTATTCCTTGTGGGGTCCATTTGCTTTCATTTCCTCCCACCCCACCCCTTAAGAAACCCCGACTTGAGGGCTAAGAGCCAGCCCCCTGCAGCCGGGGGGCGCTTCTGGGCTGGAAGACCTTCTGGATGTAGCGTTGGTGGAACCTTTAGCTGCTCTCCTCTGCAAAAGCCACCATGAATTCGGTCGCTGGGAATAAAGAGAGGCTTGCCGTCTCCACCAGGGGCAAGAAATACGGGGTAAGTCGTGACGGTACGACGCGGAGACGCGTGACTAGACCTATCTCCATGGGGGTCCCCCTTTTCCCGGGATCGTGCACCCCGGCAGGGCGGCGCGGCCCCGAGCTCTCTCCCGCTGCAGAGGCGCCCCCGCGGCCCGCGGGGCTGTGCGTGCACGGAGGCGGGTCTGCCGCGGGGGCGTCCGCACACTCGCCTCGCCCTCGGAATGTTTCCAGCCCTCTCGTTCCGTCCTTTCCCCGCACCCGCAACTTTTGCAGCATTCCTGCACTTTTAGGCAGAGTTAAGCGGAAGGGGAGGATTCCCCGTGAACGCTCGGCGGGACCTCGGATCGTTTAGCTGGAGCCGGGGGAGCCCCACATTTACCTGCAGGATCCGCAGGGTGGTACCCCGCATGAATAAAAATTCTGAAATTACGGCCCCCGCTCCACCGCCCGCCCCCCATAGGGTCTTCCAGGATTTCGTACCTGGGATTTTGCTGGGATGGATGACGGCTTCAAAAGCGTGGGGTGCTGACCCTATGGGGCCCCCTGGCAGAAGCCGTGGAAACCCCCCGATCAAGTCCTCTTCCTGACCCCAGAAGGAGGCCACCGGCGCCCGGGAACCGGCGCAGGGGTCGCCCGGGCGGTGGGGACTCACTTGGGGACAATTAACGAGACAGAGGGAGGACGATCTGGCCGCAGGGCTTGGCGAGGTCCCCAAGCGGCTCCCGTGGGCGGTTGGAGCGGGGACTCGGTGGCGCTACCCAGCTGGCGTGAGGGCGCCCCAGCCCGCGGGGCCCGGCCCCTGGGCGCTGGAACCCGCCGCCTCGCGGCGCCTGACCCCGGCGCGTGCTCCCCGCAGGTGAATGAAGTCGGCTCGCCCACCAAGCCCGCAGCGCCCTTCTCCCCCGAGAGCTGGTACCGGAAAGCCTACGAGGAGTCGCGCGCCGGGAGCCGGCCCACTCCCGAGGGCGCGGGCTCCGCGCTGGGCTCATCGGGGACCCCGTCCCCCGGCTCGGGCACCTCGTCCCCGAGCTCCTTCACCGGTTCCCCGGGCCCCGCCTCCCCGGGCATCGGCACGAGTTCTCCGGGCTCCCTGGGCGGATCGCCGGGCTTCGGCACGGGCTCCCCGGGCTCAGGCAGCGGCGGCGGCTCCTCCCCCGGCTCGGACCGCGGCGTCTGGTGCGAGAACTGCAACGCCCGCCTGGTGGAGCTCAAGAGGCAGGCCCTGAAGCTGCTCCTCCCGGGGCCCTTCCCCGGCAAGGTGAGCGCAGCGCGCGGCGCGCAGGGTGGGCGGCCCCGGGGCTGGGGAGGCGCCGGGAGGGCCGGGCCGCGGCCGACAGCAGCTGCTCAGCCCAACGCGACCCTGCGCCTCGGCTCCACGCGAGGACCCCCGGCGGCGCAGGGGGCTGCTCCTCACCCTAGGGCGCTCCGGCTCGCGGGGCGACCCCCGCACCTTCCTTCCCCAGCCAGGCCGCCCTAGGGCCGGAGGGCCGAGTCCCGAGAGCGCGAAAGAGCGCCCGTGGCCACAGGCATCACGGCCCACGCGGGGAGGCCCCCGGGTGGTCTCTCCTGCTGCCCCTCCCAGCTCTCCCTCGCGACTGCAGACTGCGCTTTCGATTGTCCTCCCCACCCCCACCTGTGATCCTTGACAAAAACGTCAGTGGGAGCTGGAAAAGCAAGCTGATGCTTGGAGCTGGCGTTTCCCACTGTCTGTTGAGGTCCATCCTTTCCAGGATTGCAGAAACAGAAACATACTGGAAAGCCAGCATTCTCCCCTGCAGTGCCTGTGCGCGCTGGGGAAGATCCGGAGGTGGGTCGCGCCTCGGAGCGGTGCTCCCTTCCTGGCCTGCTCCTCGCCGAGCACCGTGGCTGCTCCATAGCAACCCCGCGCGGTGTGTGCCTGGCCGAGCCCCCAGAGGGTAACACAATGCAATTCTATTTGCACTGTCGGCCCGTACTATCAAATGGTAATATTTACTCTTCCACTTCAAAGAGTTTTTATCAGTGGTTAGAGAGCAATATCGAGGATTGCCATAGAGGTTTCCGACACCGTTGGCTCAGTGGCCGTTTCTGGTTTCTATTTCCGTGACTTTAGAAATAAAATCTTGTGATTTCGAATAGTGGCGTTCAGAAAGAACTGCGTCTGCTGGCCTCCAGCGCGTACGCACATACACACGCCGATGCTTTCATAGGCAAGGATTAAACAAATGCCCACAGACGTGGTGAAATTTAAAATGGGGAAAACTACTACTAGGAGAATTGGTTTTATGAATGCACAGCTTATCTGGAGGAGAATGAGCTCGTGGGTGGTTGTCCGTGTACTGTTTTTGTAGTTTGATAAATCTGCCATGACATCCCAAGGATAAATCTCAGGGAATCAAAAAGCTTATTTTGCTGTTGCGTGCTAGACCTTCCGATTTGACACCATTTCTTCACTCACAGATTTATTTGCTCTTGTGATCCTTCATCAATATTCATTGATTTTTCTCCCCCATCCGAGGCACTGTGTAAGGCACAGCAATAAAAATACCAGGTCCATGCCTGCAGTCCTTGTCCACGTGGAGCTGATGCTCTAGCGGAGGAGGCAGAGATGGACCACAGCGTGCACAGTTCACAACGTATTCACATGTGTGGAGGGGACGTAGGGTGCTGTGAGGCTGTTGAACTGGAAGGGAGCATCTGATAAAGCTAGAAGGGCCTTGGCTCTTAAAGAGCTAACAGCTGATATTTGGCAGTCCTAATACGTTGCAGCCTTCCACATTATTTTAGAGCTTTATGAAGGACTCATTCTTATAATAGGATTTTTGTGGCACTGAGTGTTCCTAGATGCAAAGGTAAATCAAAATACGCTGTTCTCAGTAAGAAAAAGAGGAGGGGAAGGAAAATCCGTAGGAAGAAGACACAAATGTGGAAGCTCATATGCATCCATCGCGTTTTATGGAGCCTTGTGCTCAACTGGGATTATGTTTTTGTAGAAACAGCCTGGAACATTCACTCAGTGTTGTGGGAGGAAGCTCAATATATTTGCCTGTTTTGTGTATGTGATGAGGTAAAACTCTTGTTGGTAAACTGCTTGTATTGTCAGAGCGAGGTGACAGCTCTGGAAGAAACACTGGACTTGCTGAACTCCCATGCTCTACAGTGACGTAGACATCTAGAGAAGAGCTGGTAGTCATGCGGCAGTCACGGGATCACTGTAAGTGCATACGTGAATGCCACACAGTACCACAGATGCCTGAGTTTTGTGTGCGAAGCAGCACAGTAAAGCATGGCATTTGGTGCAAGAGCACATACAGGCTCAGCCAGGAAGAAGGATGCTTTGACTCAGCTCCTTGTTGGTAATGAGGTTGGGGGCCTCAATTTTAATTACAAAATTTTTGCAAGTCTTTGTGAATAGGAGTGTGTGTGTGTGTGTGTGTGTGTGTGTGTGTGTGTTTAGGGCATTTGTACCTTGCAATTAGGTACAATTTCCATCATACCTTTAGTGTTTGCAGCATTGTAGCCAAACAGTTGCCATGTTCGCTGGTGCACCACCTGTGGAGGCCATCTAATGTGGACAAGGCTTTTCTTCTTCCGGGGCAAAATTAATGAACAAAACTGTGGACCACTATAGCCCTCAGGCACAGAAGGAGTTAAGTTTCATTAGAACAAGAGACTCCAACATGCAGTTCGCTCTGAAGAGAGTCTGGAAGATCAAGACGTGTTTTTGAAGGGTAATTAACAAAAATCATCTTTGTAATTTGCTTAAGATGCTTACCTGCATTTGGGAAATATTTTCTTAAATAGAGTGTTAAATTCTACTAGGTGGTATTAAATGTCTCCTAGGTAGGTATTTAAAAGTCAAAAGCAGAATAGCACATCCAGGAACCTTATTATTTTAGGATGGGTTTGGTTTTAGTTCTTCCTTTACCGCTGATTTATTTTGTAACATTCCTACTTTTTAACTTTCCTATTAATATGCCAAGGAAAAAATGATTCAGACTGTTCAAATGTCATTAAAATGATCTAAGGTAAGGTTTGAAAAGTGCTTTCTTTCTTTAGAGAAAGATGTGAGGGTTGATGGTTATTAATTAGCTAAGATTCTGTTAGATTTATGTTTCACAGAATTTAAGAGATAGATTTCTTTACTTTCCCTTCCCTTCTTTGCTTCCTTCTTTTCTGATGGGATTTCACTCTTGTTGTCCAGGCTGGAGTGCAATGGTGTGATCTTATCTCACCGAAACCTCCTCCTCCCAGGTTCAAGTGATTCTCCTGCCTCAGCCTCCCAAGTAGCTGGGATTACAGGCATGCACCACCACACCTGGCTAACGGTATTTTTCGTAGAGACAGGGTTTCTCCATGTTGGTCAGGCTGGTCTCAAACTCCCGACTTCAGGTGGTTCCCCTACCTCGGCCTCGCAAAGTGCTGGGATCACAGCCATGAGCCACTGTGCCCGGCCCGTTTTTCTTTCAAGGTATTACCCCTGTCAGTTTGTAATTTCATCTGTATGTTTTCTAAATATGCTGCCATATGAGTTCTCACACTGCCTGTTGGTGGGCAGCAAGCCCTGTTGAATGCCCCCCATTTTGTCTTTGGAACAGTGGGTTAAGGAGGGGAGGTGAAGGACTGGAGAGCCCATGCAGCTGTATCTGATTGGTCCCAGGAGCTGGTGACTGGCTCTGATGGCCCAAGAAGAATCAGCCTATTCTGAGCACTCCCCCAGAGGGTAGGGCTTCATGGTGGAAGATGACGTGATTTGGATATAACTGAGTAGGTGGTGATCGTGTTGGCTGAGGTAAGAAGTAGGAGGAGACATGGAATTGGAAGGAGCTCAGAGAGAAGGATGATAATGAGTTTGGTTTTCCATGCGTTGAGTCTGAGCTTTCTGGAAAGAGATGGAGCCTGGAGGCAGATTTAATAATAAAACAGTTTGTTGTTGGCTATTTCAAGACTGGCGTGTGGAAGTGACAGCCGTGAGCTCCCATAGCTCTGTTGCTGGTACGCTGGGGTTCATCCTTTCCAATAGCAGTTTACCTGGTGAGTAGAGGTTTGTGCTTGGTGGCGGATTGTAAAACACTCAGGTTGACTTTTATTACCTCGATTGGTACGAAAAGTACTTACTGGGTTTGTATCATCTCTCTTTTGGTACTGGTGAGTGGAAGTGGACAGATAAAAGAGCGTGGATGTGTAAAGTGTTGGGATTTCACGTGAGAATGGCCCTTTTACCCACTGTAGTTTTCCAGTGTGTGAATACAAAACCATTTCATGTCCCATGGCAAGAATGTCCTTCCTGTTTCATAGACAGTCGAGGTACTGAGCCAGAAATAGGGGCCAAGGAACGAATCGCTGGATTTGGGGCTAGCCTAGATCATTCTGATATCCGTGACAGAACTTTTGAATGTACTGGGCAGGCCCCACGAAACATCAGTCTGCCAGAATTCCCCGGAGTAAGCGGGAAAGCTCCGGGTTGGCGAAAGGTTATCAGACATCTGTTCATTTCCATATCAATAAAAGAAAATCTTCTTTTATGTAGAAAAAAATAAGTGCAGAACTATATTCCTGTCTGATTGTTTCTCAGTCAGATATTCTGAGTCCATTTATGCCCCAGAAATATCAGGAAGATTAGCCAGACATACTGAGAAGCGTGGCCAGGAATCACAGAGATGAAGAAAAGGAAGCGTCACAGGGGTTAAAAACGCTGAACGTGGACTCGAAATAGCCGGATACCGAGTGAGTCTAGACTTGCGGAGATATAGATATCCCACACGCGCGTTTCTGTGTTCTGCCGGCTCCAAAAGAAGGGTATGAAAAAATAACTAGACTCAAAACGTCCCCCAAAAGCCATCATAAAACATTTTATAGAGAGGATAAAACAGACATTGCATTTCTAGTACTTATTAATTATAAGGGACTGCTAGCTGAAATCTCCTTTCTTCTACGAACATGTGGCTATTTTCAAAAAGCTTCATTGGAGTCTTTCTCGTGTAAGAATTGTTTTAGATAAAGGAGCAGTTAATAGATAATAGCACTCATGAAAAAGGCCTGCAGCATTTATCATTAAAAAATTTCTAAAACATTTTGGGAGTTTATAAAAACATTCCCAGTAGAGACATGTGAGCAGTAATCTCTTTTTAAGGCTTAGCAAGCTGTGGAATAATGGCAGTTCATTCTACCAGACTATTAATTGTGAAGCAACATGGTCAGTTTTTATAGTGACTTAATTCACTTTGCAAAAATCCCTGGCCTGTAATAATTCCTTCCACACCCATTGCAGATAGGATT